TCTCCCTGAGGGCTACCGATCTTCGAAGGCAAATTCACTCTGTTTGGATTCCGCAATCTAGTCATGCACTGTACATTCCTCTAGGGCATGGTCTACTCAAACGTCACATATCTTTCATGAGGCTTGAGCCGCATTCTAGGCCTTGCGGTAGAAGAAATACTTCAGTTGTCGAAAATGCGCGCAGTAGTTTCTATTTTCATACAAGTCCTGTACAGAAAAACTTCGACAAATCTTGGCAGAATCTTAACAGTAATATGGAGGAGGATCTACTCTTTCAGAAAACATATAACTTTATTAGGTTGGGTCCTTGATCTTTTGTACAACGGTTGATAAATCCGGGGTGCCAAAAATCGGCGGAAACTTTTCGAACAACCCAATACATAGCTGCGATACGAAGACAAACAATCACGGATAACGCCCAAATGACAAAAAGGAAGGTGTGGCTATTAATTACTACAAATTGAAGAAATAAAGTAATTGGAAGGTATCACCTAAAACAGTGACTCCGTTGAATTCAATGAAATATAGACAAGAGGGGAGCTCTTCGAGAAACCCTTCAGTCAATCGATTTCCTAGCTTTGTTTCCATAGCCAGCAATATACTGGGATTGGGTACTAACTTTCTCAGGTGATTTAGGTCAATTCTTGTGGCTCTGCTTGTTGCTTACGTGCTTCATGGCCAATGCAGAATCATTTGAATTGAATTTTTGAAAGAAGAATTCCGGCTTTTCCCTACACGTAAGTTGCAAAACGGCTTTTTCGCTTTTTCCATAACAAAATAGTTTTCGCTCGATGGTGACATAAGAGAGTGACGTACAATCCTGCACTTCGTTCTTAATAAAAAGTTCAAAAAGATGAGCTTCCGGACCGTTGAAGTACATAAAGGAAAAAAGTATTTGGTAGTATAAAGAAGTACGGACGGTATCTGTTCCAAAAAGAATTATGCAGCATTTAAAACTTTCAATTTATCCATTCAGATGTATAAATTTCAAAATCCTGTACAGTCCCCCTTTGGACTTGACCCATTCATTTCCATTTCACCTTTCCTTCACCCAGGTCACTAGGTACTTTCATTCTATTAGATTCGGATTGTCATAGTAAAATGAGTAGACCTGTAAGTTAGTAGTAAGTAGGTTTGCTCAAAAAAATTGTCTGCTAAATCAATGGCCAAAAAACCGTGTTGAGTCCGTAGGCCCTGCTTAACATCCAAGGCCCGTCCCTTTTCCTCAAAAGAAAGAAGACCCAGAGACAACTACTTGAAATGAAGTTGGAAGCAAATGAATCAATTGGCCAGAATCTGGAGGGAGCCGTTTCCATGGTACAGTGGTTCGGAATACGGTCTGGGTACGGGATGCAGGTCTGGGTTGTCGCACTCCCGAATGCCCCACCCTTTCGGGCGGACCTATTCGATGCTACGGGGACGAGTCCGGCACTCGGCTCTTGCAGTAGCCCCTTGGCTTATCCCACCACCCACCCCGTGTCCTTGCCCAAAGCCCCTTTTCGACGCGTCGTATATGTGACGGGTAAAAATTTGCATATTTGAGAGCCGAGTGCCGGACTGAATTTTCGTTTCTGTTTCAATGCTTACATTTGGTGTGCCGTACATATGGCGGTTTTTCTCTAGTCGTCTACTATCTCTCCTATCGCACTGTGTATAGTTAATGTGCCGTGAAACTCTCCAGCAGAGAAATCTGTCCTACGGCTGGCGCACATGCTCGATTTTTTATACAACATTACAAATGTCCATTTCTAGATGAGTAAAATTATTATATTTTAGGTTGTTCTGGAAAACTCGTCCACTCATCGTTCGCATTTATTAGAAGGAACCTCCTTTCTTCTCTTGAGTGTCGTGATCATTTTTCTTTGCGTGCATGACTAAATTACCGGTTTACATGCCATAGTTGACATGAGAATCAATGTTGAACAGAATCGGGAAGGGCCCGAATGAAAAACGAGTAAATAGATAAATAGCAAATAATAAATATTTTTGATCGCTAATTTGCTCTAATGAAACAAAACAGATTACAAAGATATTCCCTATATAGCAGTAATTGTCAAACACAAACCTGTAGGTGACTGCTGAAGGAACACGTCATCAGAAGGTTGCTCCGATTCGTCTCCTTCGAACACCGTTGTCCACATTCGTGGTCTTCCACCGGACCAATCGGTTCTCTGAAAGAGTAATTCTTTTTGACCTTTTAACTATTCACTGCTCCGGTCTCCCGCGACCATATGAGAGCATCTTCCCAGGCTTTTTTCTCCCAGACTCTGACTTTGTGCTCATCCCCACTTCGCTGCCTTCTTCACTGAGATAAGGTGAGCTTAGGAGATTTTGATTCCTTCCCCCCTACCCCTCCCCCTCCTGTAGCTGTGCTGTGAGAGTGAGATTTTCTCCGGAAAAGCTGATGAAGAGAAAAGTATCTTCACCCCTTTTGCTTTTTTTCGCCTCCCCACGCCTCTCGCCCCTTCCCATACATCCGACCATTTCTCAAAATGAAACTTTTCCTTTCGCTCACTCCCCTTTCTATTCATGTTTGACATCACTCTCTCCTACCTCCTTCCTGCCCTCTCTTTCCCTCCAGGAGGATTATTCACCCATAGGTCTTCCTTAACCCCAGAAATAAGCTGTTAGCCTAATGTGCTTTGTAATCGGTCGAAATGAAAATCTGACAGTTACCTGGGATCTGTACATATCGTCTTCGTCCATCTCCACTGCGTCTACACTGATACCCTTTTCGTCATGTAAGCTGACCTTATACCTGAAATGAAGCCTCAAATGAGCCCTTGGAGTGTACTCAGAGTTTTTCCGAGTAACCATACCTGTCCGCTTCGTAATTCTCATCATTAAGCCCCGAAAATCGAGCATCTGAATAGGTGAAGTCGAAGTCTTCACGTCGGTCATCAGCTCTAGAGTCATTCCTCGAATGAGCGCCTTCTCTGACTTCACTGGCATCTTCCAATACGTCATACATTCGTTCAGTCTGAAACATCGAGTTGTCTACCTTCTTCACAATGACACCCAGACAGACGCGGGTCTCACCTTAGTAGCGAAATCACCCAGTTCGTGATCGTATGACGTCGAGGTAGTGCCGTATCCTGACTCTCGTGTTGGCGATCCGAGTTCTGAAGACGATGTCATTGACGTCTGACGAGGTTTCTTGTCGCCAGCTGGCGCATCTGGCTTTGTGGTCACACTTGGCTTATCGTACTGCTCCCGTTGAGCTGCTAAAATGATTGAGTTCAATTGAAATTAACGGATTCACGAAGACTTTTGCCTAATCAGGACCTTCTCGCCTTCCCGGATCGTCCATCTGAGCCATTCTCATGACAGCTCGGATCTGCTCACGTTCAGACGGCGATAGATGCGACAAATCGACTCCGGGCAGATCTTCTTCGGGCGATTCTTCCAGAGCTTGTTCAGCTAGTCTCGATGGTTTTTCTAAACGATATTCCGTGTAATGCCCGTGGCAAAAGGCTGGTCCCCTTTGTCTCACCTTTTCTGATCTGGGAATCCCTGAGTGTTTCTGGCAAAGCTCCAAATGACTCGATAGCTTGACTCGTGGGCATTCCTCTATCTTCGTGTTCATCCTCAGAAGCTAAGGAAATCACTGAATCGATCCTGTCTTCAGCTGCCCTTCTCCTGCAATCAATAACTATCAAATACATTTGGTTACTTGAGAGGCATCGAAAACCACCAAACCTTTCTGCACCGCCCTCAGCAATGTCCTTGAGTGAGAATTCGGATGGACTTCGAACCATCTGGTCAAACGAACGGCGACCCTCCCGCTCGGGTGATATCTTGGGAACAGAAGATGTTCTAGGAATGACAGCTGGTTCTGGTATTGGTTCTGAAGGCGTCTCGAAAGTTGGTTGGGGAGGTGATGGAAGCGAAGGAACGGCAGCAGCCCGTTCTTCTATTACTCCACTCTCCATGACAGCCATGATCTTGTCCTTCTCTTCAGCCGAGAGCTCTTCCAAACCAGGCGGGATGGAAGGGCTGGAAAGGGAATTACCTCTGAATTCAGTTGAACACAGTGAATGTCAAGACAAATGATTCTTACCTTATAGATGGCGCAATCTCGGGTGTGGGAGCGGCGATGGTGGTTGTTGGTTGTGGCGGAGGCGGAAGTGGTTCAACAGGTGATGCACGCGATTCTTCAGCATCTCGTTTTGCAGACTCCATCACAGCCAGAATTCGTTCTCGTTCAGCAGCGGACAGTCCTTCCAGGCCGGGTACTTCGAATTCGTCGCTACAAAACCAAGAGATGGCAAGCCTTCTGAGTGAGCAACAGCGTAGTTTAGGCATTGATAGATCGATGAGAATGGGAATAGCGGAACATTTATTGATGACAGGCATGAAGTCATCGCATTTCCCATCTCCATTGACATTAAAAGTGTTTTTTGGTATACCTTCCTGTATTTTTACAAAAATTTCGAGAGTATACCCGTTCAAGTGCCCATTAAGGCTACACTAACGTAATAATGGGACTGAATATCACAATTGCTTTGATTCCCTTCCTTTAATCAACTCGATTACTCGATTGATTTCACTTTTTTTTTACCTTGTCCCATATGTGGGTCCCCAGTAGACCTGGCTAACCACCTCTGGCTATGCTCGTAATGCCAACCTCATTCGGAAGTCAAGTATACATCAACAGTTTCCGACAAGCGGAACCAATTGGGACTTTTTCACCTCTCGGAATAGCTAGCTACAAGGGTTGTTTCCAGAATTAAATGGAGCGGAGCGATGAAATTCCACAGAGAACGATTACATAGCTTCCAAAATGTCGCCGTCCTCCCCATGGAGAACTCAATTGCAGAGCGAATCGGGAGCCAACAAAATCAACCTAAGTCGTGTTGCTATCTCAAAAGCTATCGCTGTATCACAGTCTAATCCAAAGCTTTTACACCGGTCCGGTATGAAGGATCCCCGGCCCTGATGGGAAAGAAAGCGGGATAGCTAGAGCTCCAACTAGACCACCCATGGATGCATTCTATCGCCCAGTAGGCATCACAATGCTCTGGAGGGATGCTCTTCTTTCCCGTCTGTCAGGAGTCCGTCCGGGCCACTGAACAATGTAGGAGGACATAAGGACAGTCCAGAGGTCCTTACATACCCCTCCCTTCCCCTCCCACCCCAACGGGATAAACAGAAGGGCTATTGGGCGACATTGAAGGATTGCCAGCTGATTACCAAAGCGTTGCTAAACGCCAAATTCCAGTACATTCTCACCCCCAGCACGTTGCCATTTTCCCAGAATGGAAACCATCAGGCAAACTACCAAAATTATTTGAAAGGGTGTGTGTGTGGGAGGGCTCTGAGAATGCAATGGAACAAGTGCATTCCATCTTTTTCTCGGATACGGACGTGTAAGCTCAGTTGCCAAGTTACTGGAGTGCTCCATTTAGCCAAGAATCTGTTGTAGTCCCAGTAGGTTTGGCCTTCCAAGTGGACCCTCATCTCTACGAGCGGCATGACATCGATCTCGATTAGCCTCATCACTAATGAAATGGATTCGAGAAGCTTGCTTATAAAGGAGCCTAGGAACAAGCATGTACCGCCCTCTTTGTCGAACTACTCCCCAGCATGTCATCGATCCCTTCTCATATTCCCTCGACTCCTTTTGGTACCCCTGTCACTCATGTGCACTGCATATGCCGCCCTGATTATATTCTGCGATGTAACACGAAACTGGACCAACAGATAGTGGCCTGAAGTGACACGACGTACTGACGGGACCCTAGGTAATGTAAGACGATACTTCCGCGCCCACACCATATCCCATATTAATTTCGAACTGCCCTTTTGGCATATCAGGAAATCGTACATACCTGGGAACCTGACCCATTGACGTATGTGGCCGTTCCGGTTGCTGGACCTTAGAGGCAATGGAGGAGGTGGATGGGGATGGTCGCAGAACGGTGGCACTTCCACTTCGTCGGATCTGTGGCTGCGGTGGTTCCAACGCTTCAGCTCCAGCAGCAGCCATCACAGCAAGGATTTGCCGACGCTCCTCTTCAGAAAGGTCTTCCAATCCAGGAGGGATCATCATCTCGCTTAAAACTGTCTTTCAGAATCATCAAGGGTTAGAGAATGGGGAATATGTCACCTGGGTGGTTGCGGTTCCATGGACATCATCGAATCTCGTTCAGCACTAGCCATGACAGCCTCAATGTGAGCTCGTTCCTTCTCAGATAGACCATCCATAGGTGGCAAAGAAACGTCGCTAGAATACTTCTCGATCGTTTGGCAAACTAGAACGAAGGCGGATGAGAACAATACCTTCTCATTGAGATACTTGACGGAGATCGTGATGGTGTGGAATCGGATCGGGTTGGAATCGATGGTTCCCTATCCTGCTTGAGTCGTGGTTCCTGTGCAGGACCCATGATACGTTCTCGTGCTGTTTTTGCGAACGAATCCACTGCGGTCGGGATGTCGCTGAAAGAAATCGTGAGCTCCGTCCGTATAAATTATAAACCAAAGGGAAACATGAAACATACGAAAGCGGGGTGACAGCCGCTGATGGTCCAGCGCTAGCGACAGCGGTGGCGGCTGCGTCCAATTCTGCACACGCCATGACCGCTTGAATCTTCAGGCGCTCTTCTTCCGACAAGCCCTCCATACCCGATACGATTTGAGCAGATTGAGCCTGAATGAAGAGGGTTCCTCCTGAGNTTCGTCCGTATTAACTATAAACCAAAGGGAAACATACGAAAGCGGGGTGACAGCCGCTGATGGTCCAGCGCTAGCGACAGCGGTAGCTGCTGCATCCAATTCGGCACACGCCATGACCGCTTGGATTTTCAGGCGTTCTTCTTCCGACAAGCCCTCCATACCCGATACGATTTGAGCAGATTGAGCCTGAATGAAGAGGGTTCCTCCTGATTTCATTCCGTAATTCAAGGAGTATGAGGAGAGAGAAGAGAGAGTTTGGTAGAGACTAAACTGAGCAATCTGAGCCTTCAGAGATACGGGAAGCCCTCTAATTAGCCTTGTGGCGAAGCAAAGTTCGAGATGTATGAGGGATATCAGAGAGAAGGGATGTCCAAAGAGTAAACGAAAGAAAGTGAAGACCCTTTAGGAGCAATAAGGTCGGGGTCGCGCCATGCACACGGCTTTCTTACCAAGTTTAATTGACCCAGAATTTATCCCACATGATCTCGAATAAAGCAGTACTAGACCCGATAACTTTCAATTGAATCTAATTAACTTCCTCCTCAGAAGAAAGAAAATCAATGATTTCTAAAAGTTTAAGAAACCAGTCGGTCAAGGAGTAAAATTGATATTAGGAATCACGTCAGCCCGAAAAGCTGCGTTTTGAGGGTTATCTTTTTTTATTGACCGATATCAACAAGTATATTTGTTTATCATTAGACCTAGAGAAAGGATATAGGCCCTTTGCAAACCATTCAGATGGAAAACGATTGCTTTTGTTTTTTTTCCGGAATCGAAAAAGCAAGAGACGAAAAAACATCTGACGTTAAGACAAATAGTATTTGTCATAGCCTTTCCTAAAAGGGGCAGGTTGAAAAATCCCCATTTTTCGGATCCCCCTCGTTGCTCAGCGGTTCAGTAAACGAGCAACAGATGAAGACCAAAATTCCCTGGTTCTATATATGAGTCTACTCCAATCTACGGTCTAAATTCGTTTTCCGATTGCGATGAACGTAACCGGCGACGAAATTTCATTTTCAGCAAAGAAACACGAAAACAATCTTCAACAACGTATCTATCCCTCACCAATACGCTAACTTGGAAAAAATATTCACAAGGATTTCAAGGCGAATTTCCTCATCCTGTCCATTTTGATTCAATTTTAATGAAGATGTATTTTGGGCCGTTTGACCTTCGCGTATAGCCCTGGGTGGACATTTTAGGAGGATTGACGCTTTTAAACTTCCTCTCTGAACATCTCTGCATGTACAACAAGTATCAGTAAAACAGATTGGAGAGAGACCTTAATACTGTATGATAACGAATAGGAAAATCTTTATCGGAGAAATCTTTTCAGGCAGCTGAAGGGTTTCCCGTTACCAATTTCCTTCTCCTTGACTGATTTGTTATCAACTAATTTAACCTTACAACGAAGTCCAATGGGAAGAATCCGCATGCAACTTTGAGGAAAAAGACTTTTTGACAAGCAATCCGATGAAGATTTCGAATTAGCCGAGAAAGTTTTTCAGATTAAGATAGAAAATCGGTTCCATTCAGAAAATGCTATTAAAATTAGCTGTAGGTGAGTTATCGGAAACAGGATTGAACAAAGGAGAAACACTTTTTTCTCAGTGATTTTGCAAAGGAGATTCAAGAGAGGGAAACGGAGAGACAGAGAGAGAAAGAGAGCGAGTGAGTGAGAAAGAGAAGAATCCTGCGAGGAGCGTATTTGAACCCTTTTTTCTCGTAACCAGTGGAACCCAAATTGTAACTCAATCAATAATAACGAAAAAGGAACAAATAAAAAAAAGTAAAAAATTACACTTTTCCAGGGGGTCATAGATATATGAGAATTTTTTTGGGAAGATGGTCCCGAAACAATTTCATCTGATCTCTAATGAATATCTTGATATCTCTTGAATTCACTCGACTCAAGTACTGGAAGAGAACGTAGAAAATGCTAATTATTCATGTATATCTCGAGCTGTAGGGCGGAGGTGGTGTAGTGGCAAGTGGCGCACTATATCACACGCACGGTCAGGGGTTCGAATCCCGGA